GAATTTCCTAAAGGGGAAAGAGTGAAGTGGGTAGGGTCCTGGGTGATGTATTTTACTCTAGTGACACTCACAAGTGTAAAAATGGTGTGTGTGTGTGTGTGTGTGGGCGTCTGTGCATCTGTGTGTGTGTGGTTATCTGTGACAGTTCCTAGTCTATATAGCTAGAGCCTAAATGCACAATCTTTGGAACCACTAGATACTCGCTTTCACCAATACATGGAACATGGATGAAGGTTTAGTCAAAACGAATTCGAAAGAAAAAAGAGCTGGTTTTAAAATTCTCCCTCTCTCTCTCTCTCTCTCTCTCCTGACCTGAGTCCACAGGCCATTTTGTGCCAATGCTGTTGTCATATTGCATTTTCCCTGTTACCCATACACAACAGGAAAACGACTATTACAACTAGACACATTGTGTGACATGGCGTTTGTCAGGTCCATTGTTAACCAGCAAAACAAGATGGAACTTTCCTCGGAACTTTCACTTTCAAGGTACATACTTATCATAACCCAGTGCAAGCGCATCATCAAGCACGAGCGCGAGCATGCGCGCGCACGATCGCCGCCGGAACCATGGCGGCGCCGCGTCTCGCCCGTCTATCTCCCCGGATTGGTTTCTCTGAGGAGTCGTCCGTATGGCTCAGGGACCCGTCACGCGTTCCCAGTCCATAAAAATGAAGGGACCACTAGAGTTGATCCCTGTTCAAACCGTCATTAGGATGGCGGCTAGCTCAGCGGAAGCGCAGGAGTTGTTCCTGAGCATGGTCGGGTTGACGGAGGCTTTGATTGAAGTTGAGAAGGAAAATATATTTCCAGATGAGATGGCGAAACTAATTTCAACAGCTTTGGATCATGAATCGAAACACGACGACGATGAAGCAGACCCCTACTCTACATCACAGCAGTGGGAGCTCCGCTGCAGAAAGTGGAAGAGCTTTGGGGCAAATTCTATGAGCCGGCTTTGAACGAAGAGATTCCTGCCAAGGATGGTGAACTAGTGGTGGCATCTAATGAAGTAACACGGGCAGGGTGTAATTGTGTGGCGCACCAGTCTGAGCTGGAATGGGTATATAAATTAATTGATGTACCCGAGCCACTGACAGATGACTGGGGTTGTAAACTAGCAAACACTCTTCTACCCATCATCTTCAGGCAGGCTGGCCTGTTTCAATTGGACGTTGAAGACGTCCGGCAAGGATCCCCACACATCGTAAACTACGTCCTGCAACTGCCAAGTGGAGAAACTGGGCACTTTACGGGGTGGCCGGATTTCACCATCACCAGACGCTTCACACCATCAGCAGAGTGGAGGATTCTCTCACACTACACGAGAAGGGCTACCAGGTTACAGGGGGGTAGGTGAAGTACAATCCCCTCGGGGTGATACACTTGAGTCGAAAACAGCCACCGTGTCTCAATGTGGGGTATATGGGGTAGGGCAGCTTGCTACTTCACGTATTAGAAAGGTTGTCGCTATCATTCTCTTTAAAGATAAGTCAGCCCAAGTGGCGATAGCCAGCATAACAAATGCAACTAGCAATCCACTTGAAAACTCCATTGGTGAGGTGAATTACAAGTTTGAAGAAAGAGTTGACTCTACGTCACTTAAAATTCAAGAAGAATTCCAGGAATTCTGCAGGATTTTGGTTTCGGCACTGAAATGGACTGCTCGTTAATTGTTTTAACTGATTCAGGACATTGTACAACCTTTGAGTTTTTGTGATGTCGTGGAAACAAGAACAAGTTGCGAATAAACAAATTGTGTGTATTACTGTATCCAGTGATAATAATATAGCCCTATATATAAACTGTGGGCCAAAAGGTTAGGGTAGAAAATTCATATGCCTTGAGTGGGACCAAGTTCCCAGAACCTTGTCTCCTTATTCTCCTCCAAGACACCATTGTGCATAGCATGTGACTGCATTGTAGATGAGTGATAGAAGAAAGCTCAATGTCCAAAACTCAAGACCGGAGCTGGTCTTTCCATACCGTCTATAAGAGTTCTGGCTCAGTGTGTAGTGAACTGGACTTCATTTCAAGTTGATTCTTTTGCTTTTGACAGGCTGGATTCATTTTTTGGTGAGCCACCTTGTCGTCTGGATACGTATGTACATTTGTGACCCACACTACACTAACTTTTTATGTATAACAGCCGTAATACACAAGTTGACACCCTAACCCTCACACAAAGTATGACTCACTCTCTGGCCCAAATATTCTCGGGTGGTATTTAATTATAACTACACCCTTTTGGTGACAGACAAGGTGACCCTCTAATCGTAACTAATTTCAGGTCTTTATGCATTGTCCTACTCTACCTCAGCACAAGTAGATACTGTAGCTCTCGACGACACACGCACATGTCATGCACAAACTCTCATTTTGGTAAGTGAAGAAAGCCCATCTTGTTGTCTAAACTGTGAGATATGTATAACATATAATTATTATGTAAATTTGTGACCCACACTAAACTCACTTTAAATTTTTCTGTAATAGCCGAAATTTCACACTCACGCACATAGACCTAACTCTCACACAAAGAAGATTGGTATGTCATTTATATGGTGGTATAAATGTTATTATGCACACTGGAGTAATGAATGAAGCTCTGCTGTGCACAGGCAAACTGCAGCAGCCTCATGGTGCATGTTTACCCTAGTCTGTACATTCTGCGATGTATGATGCTCATAATAGGACGATTGTGCTTAATTGTCCCATTCAGTTACAGGCCTCTCCTACAACTAGAAACTTGGCACAGTGTATCACTACCTGATGAAGTTGGAGAAATTGCTATATATGGCCATTCAAGCGCTGGTGCAGGAGTAGCTACCCCATACAATCATCAGTTAGCCTGTGGCCTCTCCCCTCCTGCCTGCAGGTGTGGCACCTCTCTTCCCTGGGCTATTGGGAGTTCTTCCCTTGTAGGCCAGTGTATAACGTCTGAGTTTTCTGCTTTTGACAACATAATGAACTAAAATGTGTAGTACACCGTTACTAATTCTGCTAAGATCAGGACACCTCAATATCACAACACTTCCGAAAGAGAGAGAAGGGGGGAGGAATGGGGTAAGGGTGGAATTTTAACCTCCGTATTCTCGTAACAAGTCCGTGTTACAACATTACGCGCGCGCGTGCATCCGGCCGGCCGCATTCGATTCATTGTGTGATACCGAACTGCGCATGCGCAACTTCGAGGTCTCACACTGCACTATATACACCCGGTACCCCCGCTCACTTAGTTTGAGACTCGGCCTCGTCATCCGCCGTGTCTAGCCATGTCCCGGCTGCCGGGTCTGCCTCGGGTATGTCACTACCCTACTGTTTGAGTGGTATTTTCTCTGACTCGCTGCGTATATCTACGTATTTGTCGGCCTGCATAGTCTCTTAGCCCCGCTGGGTGCATAGTTGCCCCTCGCCAGTGGGTTTCGCGTGTTCTACTGGTGTATAACCCCCCCCCCCCCCCCCCCTTTTTGCCGTTACCGGCGTTTGCCCCCTCCATTCTCACCCAGCAAACCCCTCTGCTTTATTTAGGACATTCCATGCCTGTCGCAACTCCCTCCCGGGCCACCTAGGGTGCACAATCCAGGAGTTCACAGTACCCACAGGTACTTCCTGTTCTCACCGGGTTTGCCTATACCCTGTGCAGGCATTTCTCTCCCCGCAACCCTCCCCATTTTTTCGGCGTCGGGCGAGCGAGCCATGAGTGCCAGCATTCTTCCCCCGGTACCTCCCCCCATCTCCTCCACGGGGGAGAGACTTGTCTGGTGGTCTCATGACGGCGGCGTCCTCCGCGGGCTCAGCCTCGGGTGCTACCAAACTCCACCCGCCACCGAGTCTGTTCCACAGCGGCCCATACACCCCGCAGCAGTTCTGCCTCCCAAGGTGGCCAAGCGGATATTGGACTTGGACTTTGTGGAGATGTCTGAAATCTCCCTGGATGCCCCCCCTTCCAGCTCGTCCACCCATACAGAACATTTCAGTATGGGTGGAGAAGTTCTCGGTGATGGCTGCCCTGTTAGTGTCACTGTTTCCAAAGTAGGCCCCAGAGCTGTTCGCCTATCAGGCTTCGATTATTAGGGCAGAGAGAAACTTCGACGACTGCCGCTGGGTGGCTTACGACCACTGTTACAGGAGGGAGGCCTTGGCCCAGAAAAACTTTGACTGGTCAGTCCCCAACGCCCGCCTCTATAATGAGGTGTTTACTGGCCACGCGAGGATCATCCCTCGGTGTTCCTTCTGCTTGCAGGAGGACCACCTCGCCCAGGTGTGTCCTCGTAACCCGAATCGTCCGTGGTTCGGCTGGCTCAATGACCCAGCACAGTTCAACCTGGGTCAGCAGACGGGCCAATCTCTAGAGTGCTGCCGCAGGTTTAATGGTGGGAAGTGCAAGCAGTCGGCATTCTCCTGCCGCTACTCTCATCGCTGTGTCGACTGCGGGGGCCCCCATCCCCGCCTAAACTGCAGCAGGGGGAGTCAACGGGGTGGGGCACGGCCGCACTCCCCTCTCCAGCCGACCTGCCAGCACAACAGTGAAACATTGGGTATAACAGAACAACTTGCAATATAACTTCTGTGACTATTAGTTCAGAAGACGCTGACCATGAAGTTCAGCAGCAAACCTATATACACTCCTTGAACTCAGCATGGATGTTTGTCGACGAAGGAACGAAGTACCACATACTGTGCAATATCGATGTGTGTCGACGAAGGAATAAAGTACCACCATACACTGTCCAGTACTAGACAGAGACATGGAGCACACACATTATAAACAAACATACTACACAAAGCTGGAGCTGAAGCCTAAGAGTAGTTTGAAAATCAGCTGCAAAAAGGAAACTGGAGAATACAGGTTGTGGAAGATAAAGATGAGTCAGTTAACTGTACACAACCTACTTGAAAAATGCTCATGACATTGTTCTTCTTGGAGAGACAGCTCTGACTGTTCCTATATAGAGCACCACGGGACGCAAGGTGAAAGGACAAGGGGATAAAGCGGTAGCATCCCACTGTTTCTTGTATAGGCCGTCATTATACACGTACACATCAATATATGGCCAGATTATGACCAAGAATACCGCCTTCGCGAGGATGCTTGCCGTCGCATAAAGTATACAACCCGGCTTTTCCCTTCTGCCTCTTCAATCAGACTTACTCTCAAAATTGCTGGCGATCCGGTAGAAGACAACTTTTCAGGCTTGATAGCTGTTCATTCTGCTGCCTGCACCGCTGTCGAGAAGCGACCATGGGCCACGAAAAACTTATCTACTTGTAGCGTCTTCTCCAAGGGTCAACGTGGTTTTGCGTAAAAACTCTGCCCGGCCACCAAATCACCAATCCTCGGTGCGCAAAGCGCCGCGAAAAAGCTATATATAGGCCGGCCGGGCCGTTGCCAACGCCCATGTAAATCTCACGATTACGTAATGGTTCCATGACGTCACTAACAGCCGCGGTCCACACACACACACGTACTTACGTACGTACCTACACGTACACGTAGAGCGCGGCATGTCGAGCCAGCAGCTGCCGTCGTCATCTCACTTCTCTCTCCCCTCGTCCTCTGAGGGTAGCCGTGGAGCACGAAGAACCCCTCCTCCCCGCCGGAATGCTCCCCGCCGAAACTTGCAAGCTATGATTATTTCTTCAAACCCGAAGCTCTCCGCGTGGCGTTGCCCTGGAGCCGGGTAGAAAGAGGTCATTTTTGCGAGGTGCGAACGCTCGAGGCCGCCGTTAGCCATATTAGAGAGCTGCAAGAGGTAATGCTGCAGCAGACCCCGGAGATCGTAACAGAAAAGCCTCGCCGATCCACTCGTATGAGGAGGCCGCCGGACAGGCTATATTGAGACTAGAAATTATGATGTATTCCTAAATATTGTGTATTGCGCATGCTCAGTTAGTAATCCGCCGTCGCGTCTAGTTCTCCAGAAATGGCTGGGCACCTCACGCACTCAAGTGGGGCAGCCCTGCCTCAATTGGAGGTCCACTCTCCCCTCTCGGAGTATCGCCACCGCCGCAGCATCCGTACAGCTGCGCCTCAGACATGTGGATGGTCATCGGCTGCAACTAAGACTAGTGCATCACATCTGGACAGTCTTGGACAACACAAGTTTTCATTGTTATAATATACACAGCATGTCCACTTTTCAACGATATAGATCAAGAAACAAAGTTGTTAGTTGAGCGATTATGTGCATGCAAGAAGACTTGGGTTTGAAGAAATAATCATAGCTTGCAAGTTTTGCAGTCCGATCTAGTCTCTATGCATGAACTGACACTTATAATCTCCTTCAGGTGTGTCCAGTGGGGGTGGGGAATATGTACAGTGTAGGTTATGTGGGTGGGAATGTTTGGAAAAGAGAGAGAAGGGGATGGGGTGGGTGTGGGAAGGGGGAGAGGAGCGAGGTAAGGGCGAGTAGGGTTATATACTGCTCTCCTATATTTGGAAAGAGAAACATTCATAAATATTTGTGGTGTCATATTCCACCAATATTGAATGTGGCCGCACGCTTTAGTCCCCGTTCGGTAAAAATGTCCACAAGGAAGATTAGCGCAGCATTCCAAGCCGCACTGGCTACCGAAAAGCTCAGCCCATGTCTTTTTATGTGTGCGTCCATTATCCACGATTCTCTGATGAGCCGTAGGCCTAGCATCATCCAAAAATGGAAATTGGAAGGATGGCACTTGTCGGCCACCGTAGATTTGTGGTGTACTATCTTTTAGCCCATGCACCTATTGTGCTTGTGGTATATTATAGCCACTGCCAATAATTAGCAGTTAGCCCTATAGGGATGGCATAAAAATGAAAAGAGACAAAATATGGATGGGATATGAAACATAATAATGAACAGATTGTGAGCATGCTGACACTAGGATTTTATTATTACTTGTAACTATAAAGTGATTAAACTCCCATACAATCATGGTGAGGTCTCAAGGTGACGCTACAAGTTCTTTGGTCGAAGTGATCAAATTTAATCGTGAAGTACTATGTATGTATGCTGTACATGTGCGGCGAGGGTTTATCAGAAAATTTGCACCACTGAAAATAATGTTGTAAACTGGCACAGAGAGGTGTTAAACAGGAAAAAAACAAGTGTGTATACCTATATACAAACTGTTATGTGCTAGCCTAACTGAACGGTTCGTGACAAGGGACCGCGGCCACACACAACAACTACTAACAGGTCACACTCAATCATCTGCACAAAGACGGTAGAGACATACACTTATATATGCACAGGAAGTGACTATGCACGTGACGTAACCAACAATGAATAATCAAGAGTTCAGGTTACCACACAAACACTGAAAGCCCATGTACTTTATTGTGATTACAGGTGCATATAATTATGCACAAAACTATATAGGTGAGGCCCAGGGGGAAGGGGGACCCACATTTCTGTGACCAACATAGGACGGCATCAACTACTACCAGCAGATGACAAATGGAAGGGCCTCTTCCTCCGTCCAATCAACAGCTAAATACGATAAGGGACAGATCTCCAACCACTCACTGTGTGAGGTTTGATGGCTCCAGCTGATCTGGCATTCTCCTCTCTCTCCCTCCTCTTGCTCTCCAGTTCCTCCAGTTCCAGTTCTTCTGGTGGTGGTGGTGGTGATGGACAGGCAGTGATACGATACCCGTGTGGGACAGCTGTCACCGTGCAAGACTCCCTTTTCATATTATGTCCTTCAACCATGCAACTGGATTAGTCAGGTGTGCCTTTATGAGCCAGCTATAGGGTATATACACATACAGTGTACTAGTGAATGGCTTAAACTGTTCACGGAACAGATGGAAGTAGAGAGCCAAAGTTATTTACCCTCTGGAGTGACATATTGTATATAGTACTTTAGAACGTTGTGATGGACGATGCTCAAAGAACGCTTGTCAGTTTTTTTTGTATGCATCTTGCCGGTCAACCATGTCCGTGAGTGCTGCTTCGTGTGCGCATTATTAACTGGTGAGCTGTATATATTTCTCACTCCTTATGTTGCCAAATGTTTGGAAACTTTACTTCGCTGTTCATTCGTGGTGTTTATAACGTTGGATTAGATTATTGTGGTGCCTTCAATTATGTGGTTCCTTTTTCTCTGTGTGTGTGTGTGTGTGTGCGTGTGTGCGTCTATTTTGAACATACCGTTCAAAGAAACCAGTGTATATATAGCTACATGTATTAATGAGTTAAGCTGCCGTTGTAAGGTTCTCTGCTGGTCCTACACCGCTGGGTAGTATGTTTATTGCCGTGGCAGATTAATTTTAGATTAAGCAGATCGCCTGTACAACTCATTTGACAATATGTGATAGGCTCTGAGAAAACTACACTTATCACGCACGTATTTCACATTGCCCTGTCGTGTTATAATGTGTTGGTAAGTAACCCCCATCTCCCACTACTGGCAGACTGATGAAGACTGGCAGAGGCCAAGAAAAACCAGGACTTTGCACGAGGTTTTACAGGTGTGTGTGTGTGTGTGCGTGTGCGTGCACACATTTGTGATAGGCTCTGAGAAAACAACCCTTATGGCGCATGTAGTATTGTTGTAGTTTCTTAGAGACTGTCACATTATCATTTTCGTGACTAGCTGCAATTTTGAGAATATTTACCTTGACTCATAAAAAACTACGTACATTGGGATAAATTATCTTAGTGCTGCCCTATTGTTTTGCCGTGGGGGTCGGTTTTATACACGTGTACTTGCCCATTTGGAACGAAAGTGCATTCCTGGGTGTCTTATTTTTGCTCGACACTTTCCTTGCTCTCATGTACATAATAATTATGATGACCCCCCTGCATTGTGTGTGTACATTAGGTACTGCAGAAACTGCCAGTGAGTGTGGCAGCTCTGAAACAGGGCAACATGGGCAAACTGATCAAGCAGCTATCAAGGAATATCCAGGTCAGTCTCCTATAGTACACAGGAACCAAACAATACAGTCATATTATGATGTAATCTAAAGGGTTGTACAATACAGTATATAATTGAGCATACATAGCATGACCCTTGCGCTTTGATATTGGAGCCTAGTAGTGGTATATGCATAGTTTTTGCTTTGCGAGCCAAATTATAGTGTAGAAGCCAACGGGCTAAGCCCACTGCAGTGTGTGAAGGCGTGTGTCTTTTTTTGCAGAGGATTTGGCGTCTGACCTATTGTCCAAATGGATGGCCATCTTCAAAGAGGTATATATTATTCAGTACCCGGCTTAGTTGTTAACCCTCGGCGCGCAGTAGTCGTTCGTGTCTGTCGTCTGTGTGTCTGTCTGTCTACGACTATTCTCGCACTACAGGCAACGAGGCGGCTTACATGTATGAGCGATTCCTACAGCTTTAGCGGTACATGGGCTAGAAAATAAAATGGCGATTTTGCTGAAACGACAGCGTTCGAGAGCGACAAACTGGCACGGTCGCGGACAGCGTTGCGTGGCCCAACCCATCAATAAGCGGTGCGCATGCGTGTATTAGACGCAGTATGCTGGCTCACCTCGACCTGATCCGCTTGCTCTGTGTACCTTGGAGGCACAAGAAGCCACAGCGAAGGGTGTGCATCGACTCCAGCATGCTATCTACTACTGTAGCTAGCCAGTGTCAGGCTCTCTGCGAGCTATTAGCGGGAGACCGCCAATCCAATAGCCCAGCCCATCATTAGCAGCGGTACGGCGCATGTGCGGTTCGCCGAGGGTTTGCACTTTAGTGCTTTTCATTTCTATCTTGGGATTGTTTATTGCGACATGTATGTAGTAGATTTTGACTGTTCCCTATTGCAGTTAACTTACGTAACAAAACCTCTCGTGATAGTGTTTTCGCAAGTTTTTGATAAACAAAATTATTATTATCGGGAATAATTTTAACATTGCTGACCAGCTTTGTTCTTTTTTTACTTGTCAAGAAAGTTAGTCAACTGTGTCTGTGCACATGGAATGTAGTATCAGTTGGCAATTCCCCGGATTTCAACAGATAAGGTCCGAGTATTTGTTTACCTTCGCTTGAAATTCACCCGTTCTGTTCTGGAGATACTGTTTTTTAGCGTGCCTATGGATAAAACCACAAATTTTCTACACTAACTTCGCATAGAGCATTTTTGCGTGACACAAAGCCTACTGACACATATCATGTAGTTGCCTTTGCACAGTGTTCGTAAGCCAGTCCCGGAAACTTACAAGGAAGGTAGCATGTAAACTTCCGCTTATTTGTGTGAAAACAGTCAGTTTTTAGTGGCCCACGCATATTTCTGGGTACTTTCCGCTTTACGTGGATGTTCACAATGCGAGTGAAAACCGACATTGCCGCTATGAAGAGCTGTTTCAGCCAGACCTGATGGCTTTTGGCCATTATAAAGTAGATAGCTATAATATCTTCCTTCCTGCGAAGAAAAAAAATCCGCGTTATTCACTAATGTCATTTTAGCCGACTAGTATATACTACATTTCTGTGTCCATGTCACGATTTGCATGAACCATGTATGTTTATTGTCCACTCTCATGCAGCATACCCTTTGTTTTTGTCTTGTCAGATTCTGAGAGATAGACTATCACATCCAATTAGTTCCAGCACATTGTGTGCTGCACTAACAAGTGGGAGGAAACCCTGAAACAGTCTGCTGTTGTGCTACTCTCTGGGCCCAAGCATTATCACCACAGAAGGTGGACGTTATTGCTCAATAATAGGCAGTCAGCATGTCAGCATGTTGGGTCAAGACAACCAGTACACAAAGCACACGAAAATACAACACATTACAACAACATACATAATTATGTGTGTGGATCGGAAGACTATAGTTTGTGACAGCAAGCAGTTTGAAGGGAAGGCGTGGAGGTTGTAGTAAGGACCAAGGTCCTATATAGGAGTGGGCTTCTATGAGAGGATGTGAGGTGTACAAAAAAGGAAAACTAATAGCAAAAAAGCGCTAAAAGAAAAAGCTATGGTGGAGTGGCAGTGACCACTGTCTGGTTTGTGAGGGGTGCCGGGAAAAACAGCGCGGTGGCCACTGTCTGGTCTGTGAGGGGTGCCGGGAACAACAGCACGGTGGCCACTGTCTGGTTTGTGAGGGGTACCAGGAACAACGGCGCGGTGGCCACTGTCTGGTCTGCGAGGGGTGCCGGGAACAACGGCGCGGTGGCCACTGTCTGGTCTGCGAGGGGTGCCGGGAACAGCGGCGCGGTGGCCACCGACTGGTCTGCGAGGGATGCTGTGTACAACGGTTCATCTCTGGCCTTCTCGAACCAGGGGTGATGGAGAAGGATTTCAGCAGTCACCCTCCTGGCAGGGTCATGGGCCAACAGGGAGCTGATTACATTCCTCCCAAGACGAGACACACTCTCCGGTACCGCGTAGTAACCACTGCAAATCTTGGTGAGTAGCATCCGCGGGTTAGTGTCGAAAAACGGGTAGTGTCCGACCAGCAGTGTGTACAGGATGACCCCCAGACTCCACAGGTCACGAGCCTGTCCACTGTAGCTGCCAGGGAGGAGCATCTCCGGGCAGATGTATTCTGGGCAGCTGCGACGGTCAGTCAGAATGTCCGATCCATTGTGGAGGTGGGCATCATCTAGAGTATGGAGCCTCAGCGTTGTACTGAGGGGGGGGGAGAGAAAATGAGTCTCAGGACTGTGAGGGTGAAGCCAAATGTGGGTACTGTTACAAGATTCACAGTGGCCTATCCTCCTAGGGTGACTTCAAAATCACTTAGTCTAGATCAGCAGTACATCTCCATGAATGAGCAAGCAAGGGAGAGACAGAAAAGGTGAAAACTCACTTTTCCTGGTCTTCAAATACAAAGTTCTTCAGCTTCAAGTCTCGGAGCACCACATTCTTGCGGTGGGCGTCTCTCACAAGAAGAACTATCTGCCTAAAGATGCTCGCAGCGAGTCCTTCCTTCAGCTGTCGTCGCTCTTTCAAGAAGTTGTGTAGATCGCCAAACGTCCTGGGAGAAAACACGTAGAACTTGCCGTTGAGATGAGTCACATCCAAAACCTTGTGAACTCCTTCAATGTCACTCAAAATTAGTGGAGCTAGGGCCAGAAAGGTTGTAGCGGGGTATTCTTTGCAGTGGCACAGCTGCAGAGTGCGAAGGTCTAGTGAGTAGTGCTGGTCCCCTTCTTTCTTGCAGTTGACGACGTAATGACCTGCCAGATGTGGTGCACTCGGACTGTTCATTTCGCTGGTGAAGAAAAGAGACACTGTCGTCAACGTGGGCGCACGCATGCGGGTGTATACACTAATTGTGTCTGAAAAGGGGGCGGGGCTAAGCAATGCGTGTAGAATGAAGGACATTGTTGAACAGTAAACCCCACTGACTCAGGGGCGTAGGAAAGTATTTAGCATTGGGGGGCCACAAAATTTTAGTAATGTTGTAATGAAAAGCACTAAAGTGCAAACCCTAAAGTGCAAACTCTCGGCGAACTGCGCATGCGGAGCCACGCCTCCCGCCCGCGAGGCTACATGTACGTACGTATGTACGTGTATACGTGCGCATAAAAGCGGTCGCTGGTGGCGCGGCAGCGTTCGCCCTCAGGCAAGGTACGAACTAACAAAAGAAAAGGGGGGCCCTGGCCCCCGTAGCCCCCCCTGTTCCTACGCCCCTGTGACTTGCCATTTTTTGAATCAGATCTGCTGTGTGTGAAGGTAGGAGGATTAGTGTGACTACAAAGTTGCTTCTGGCTTTACTACAATGCTAACTGAGGGGAAGAGATTGAGAATCACTCACCTGAATTGTTTCGATTTGCAGCATCACATTGCCCTGTGAAACAATTTTATGACTTCAGGCCTACCATCCGAGGGAGAACAATATTCACTTATGTATCTACCAACACCTTGTACTATTACGGCCTCCTAGGGTGCATGCAAGGTTCTCTGTGGCTACAAAGAGTGTCTATGTGTCCCCATCATCATTCCTAGACAGGCCGAAAGTGAGGAAAGGAGAGAAGAGTTCCACCTTTACCAACTAGTGTGCTGCTGCTCTCTTTTGTTGTCTTCTCCTTCACCACCGCGGCAGACTCTGTGTCTGAAGCCATGCCATTTAGTTAGTTTTCACTTTCATTTTCTATTGCTCAACCATGTTTGATGATCGGAATTGGAAAACTGATATAGTTTGCGAAGCTGATGAATATACGTCAATTGCTGGGTTGCAATCAATCATTACTAAAAATGCAGTGAGTGAGTGATGTGCTCAAAATTCAGCGAGTGTGTGAGGTAACGGATGGAGGAATGGTTGGCAGGGTGAAAGTGGGCTGGGGACGATGGGAGAGCGTTGCTCCAGCTCATAGACCAGGGCGGACGATAAAGGGCCATGTCCCTGTTTCTTGTTCTTGCTTGAGTCCACGGCAGAACTTGCACACGTCAGAAAACAAACAGTGGTCAGTGACATCTGTGCTTCCACAACATCATCAACATTGGTTAAGAAGTGCTGGACGAGTGCAAGATGTCCGACATCATCCACCACCTGGCATGAAGGGTGTAACATGGGGTGAGGGTGTATATGTTTGTCTGTGAATGCAAGAGGTGTGTGTCTGTCTTGTCTCTCTCTCTCTCTCACACGGTACTTGTGAGTCCTAGCTCGGCTGTCTGGCTTCATTCGGGCACTCCGACGTTTCACTTTTCCATACTCGAGAGAAAGAGAGGAGACCTCAACCAAAAGGTGTACCATGGCAGACTTGACACACTTGTTGAAAACCCGCAAAAGGCGCATGCACACCTGCTTGAATCAGCACAACGTCAATGCCAAAGTGAGCGGTAGCCTGTGAGCTGAAACATGCTTTCGGAAATGGACTACATTGATTGATAGCGAGACAAAAGAGAACAAGGAAGGCGAGAGAGGGGAAGGAAAGGAGTGTAATTATTAGAGCCTAATTGAGATCAAAGGAACATTCTGCATTATACCAGTATTTTGAGCTCCCGGAGCTCCCATACCTGCTATATATGCTTGTTCTCTGCTGTTATTTTGAGCTCCTAGAGCCTAAAAGAGATAAACATGTTTCTCTTCTGCATTTTGCCGGTATTATTAGCTCCCATACCTGCTAATTGCAACATGCTCGTTTTCTGTATTTTATTTTGAGCTCCCAGAGCCTAATTGAGACAACAGGAGCTTACAAACATGTGCATCTTACCAGTATTATGAGCTCATGGAGCTCCCATACTTGCTAATAGAAAACATGCTTGTTTACAGCTTTATAATATTTTGAACTCCTAGAGCCTAACTGAGCCTACAGGAGCTAAATATGTTTCTCTTCTGCATTTTACCAGTATTATCAGCTCCCATACCTGCTAATTGCAAACATGCTTGTTTTCTGCTTTTATTTTGAGCTCCTACAGCCTTCTTGGTATGGGTTTTTATGGAAGAACAATACAGCGGAGCCGTTCGCGCATGCAGACGCGCGCGCCGTTGCGCCCCTGGCCCTCGGCTGTATAAATTATACGTAGCGCAGTTCGCGGAGCGAGTGGGCAGTTAGAGGTGAGCTGAGTGTGGAGGCGCAAGTGAGCGTATCTACGTAACTGTATACTTCTTGTCCATGTGTATTTTCTATGTAATCGCCCTCTGTTGTAACTTCTTGTGCCTTCAAGATACACAGAGCGAGCGGACCCGGTCAAGGTAAGCCGCTCGAAATTTCTGACCTTGCCCACTAAGTAAGTCGTATCGTTTGTGAGACGAATGAACATTGGAGAAGTGAGATGTTGAGTAACAGACAGACACACAGACACACACGCACACATAGACCCAACTACCTATATACCCTCGCTGCACACGCCGAGGGTAATAATAATATGAAGGCAATGGTCTATTGTGTATGTACACCTGTAAGGTTTCACGGGCACAGTCAAGGAACTGTGCACCACTTGCTTAACGGTATGCACTAGCAAAATAACCGCAGAAAAATAATCACCAGGAGGGAGGACTTCTGAACAAGTTCGCTCAAGGCCTAGTGAATGTCAGAAACTACGTAGAAAAATAAGGGTTCACCTTCAAAAGGAGACTAAAACATCACATAGAACGTACTGTGTAAAATCAGGGGATACCCTCACTAAATGTAGGTAATATCTGGGGACTGGTTCATTAAGCCATGCATGCACCCCAAAAGGGTGCAGCAAAGGAATCATGGCTGCAACTCTAACCTTACAAAAATTCCAGAAGAGGGGGAAAATAACCTAGTCAACCAAATTACAGTATGTCAACAGGGGACACATAATAATTATAACACAATGATATAATACTACAAGCAGGAAAGATACTTATGTGTCACGACTATGTGTGTAAAGTCCTTGCCGCTAATGAGCTTTATACAGTACAGTATTGTTTATAGTGTTTTTGGCATAAGTCCAGTAGTCTCATCAGTAACTTCCTCTTCCTCCCCTCCTTCCACCTCCCCCTGTTTGTCCTGATTCTCATGAGAGTAGTCAATCTTACGACTCCCTGCCAGCCAGGGATAGAAGAGGAACAATCCAATCAGTAATGGCAGGAAGAGCCCCACTTGAATCAGCATCACCAGGTAAGTCCGCTTCTGTGCATGCTCATACACAACATCCACTGCAGGTATGGTGGTGTCAGTGTCACTTAATCTTATTGTGTTGTATTGTGGCTTACTTATCAAGGGAAAAACACCTCTTGTTGCTCCCATCAGACCAACAGTTGCCCCTGCACTGATTCCCTATAAGCATAGTGTATGTGGGGTATCTTATAGTTCCCAGATAAGTTTGCACGAGCACCTGATATTGTTCAGGGACGGTGTTTGATAGTAAGAGAAACGTTCCAATGTATGCAAGGGGTATAGTGGAGGTTAAGACGACAGCACCAACAGTGAACTGGACAAAGTTGAGAGTGTGTGTAGGACTTCTACAGATTGGCTGGCAGTCACTGCAGTGTTTGCCAGTCACTAGGGAGTTGGGTATCCAGTGACAGTGTTCCCCTGCAGACTCACACCTATTGACTGCCATCAGGTACACCTCTCCCTCCACCACCAGCAGACTCTGGACACTCACCATCCCAGACTCTGAGATGTTAGACTCTGCTAGCTCTAGTCTGTACTGGTCGGCCAGTTGTGGATGGTGGAACAGACTGTGCTCTGTGCAGGGATCGCTGCCAATGGCCTGCCAGTCTGTCATTATCAGCAGTGATGTGATCGTACATGTCAGTCCCACCACTGTCAGACTGTAGCCTTTCACCTTGAAATACTGAAGTGTGTAACTGCAAGATTGATTAAAAGTGCATTCATGGTGTGTTTTAAAAAGGTTAAACTTACAGAAGTATAGTTCCAGCAGAGAGTGTAAAAATGAAAAGAATGAAAAACAAAGAAGTGCTCTCTTCGCCAAACCCAAATGAATCACTTATAATCGGGTTCATCAAGACTTCAGGCAAAATGTAGCGCATTCCTTTGATCCCTCCACAAAACACCAAATACATTGGTGCCTTGCGTTACATTATAAGTTAAGGATAAAACCTAAACTTGCAAGCCACCTAGTCGTCTGAATGTATGGTTTTTCTTTTGTATTATTCATTAATGGGACAACAGCACTGTCCCACACATTATGAGAAGGTATCACGTTCGTCTTATGCTGTGTGCGTCTCTCACATTTGTTTGCATTGTCTGCATTTGCATTCATTCTTGTTAATATTGTGTGGATATGATAACCTGACAGAGAGTAACTCGGTTTTTCTTTGGTATACTTTGTGAGGAATTTTTCTTATGGTAGTCTTTGGAACTGTGCCAGGTACTCCCTCCGTGGAAGAGAAGAAACTGTAGCAGTAACAGTGCTACACCAACAGCTACACAGAACCACGCAGGAGGTCTGGAACTGTGGAGTATTTGGAAACTGAGCCAGGATTACTGGGAAACCTAGGAAAAGTAATGGACATTGATCATGAAATCTGGTAAGATATTTCCTTTGCCCTAACAAAACAACTTTCTTGTACATAGATTAGAGTTTCTATGACCAATAAAAGGCAAAGGAAGGTAAGGTAAAAGGTGGGGTGGGTGAATTTCTTATTTCCCTTGAGAAAATAGATGCGTTTTGGTGCAGTCTTTTCATACTACAAGTGGAAATATCTTTTCTTCAAAATGGCTGGAAGCACCATAAGGGGAGAAACAAGGGGTTGTTTCACAGCAAAGATATACAAAGCTACATGACACCATCCCTATATCTTTGTTTGATGTTATTTGCTTATGAATCAATAGAACAAAGATATAGGGAAGGTGTCGTGTAGTTTTGTGTACCATTGCTGTGAAACAACCTCTTGCTACACAGAACCACGCAGGAGGTCTGAACTGAGGAGTATTTGGAAACTGTGCCAGGATTACTGGGAAACCTGTTTAGACATGCACAATCTGTAAGACATACGCTGCCATAGCACAGTTGATGTCTTTGTGTTGAAGTCATTTGGCTGTGGGCCACAATTAAATATAAAATTTATTAGTAGGTATTTTTGAACAAATTACCTACTGCAGTAGAAAATCCAAGTACATTTCCAATGTAGTATAGACTAAATACATATCCCTTCACTTTCCCAGCTGTCTTCTTTTTCAACTTTCCAAGTATCTTCAGATTCTCAGTGTACTTCTCAAAGCTCACAGAGCAGTAGGCGAACACTAGGGATGTACTAGCACCTAGTTGCAGACCAGCCAGTCCACGAGCCAGTATCATCATCCAGCCATTGGTGGCCAGTGCATACAGGAGATAGCCCAGAGTATGAGAGAGTGTGGAGAACATGAATAGGTACCAGGTTGGTACGTGGTTGAACAGAAGTCCGGTACCAACGGCTGATACAGCATAGCCACTAAACAGCACCACGTAAGTTAGAGAGTAAAAGGTTTCACTTTGTTGCAAACCCGGCTCTATGTCCTATACAAAGTTTGAGTCTTCACTGTTATAATAACAGCATTCAGGTTAGCTACCTGATTTGTAATATTGAGAGTCTTGATGGTGGGGTTGATGATGAACTGGTGATTGGTGGGTATGACACACATAATAATTGATGGCTCTCACCAAGCTGTTCAGCACTAGAAATGCCCAGTTCCACTTCAATCGCAGTATGTCTCTTTTTGCTGCAAAAAATGAAGAATAATGTCAATCCTTGAAGATCTTGAAATCCTTAGCTACCTTTGTCATTTTGTGTCTCCTCTTTTGCAATAAAACCATGTGGATATGGGAGATTAAAGAGCAGTACCAGCCAATTCCTCATGGTAGTGTTCAGGGCACGAAACTGCTGCAGGCCTTTGCTTTGTGCAGCCTTAGATAAGTAACAAGTAGTAAGCGAACACGCATGCGCAGAGCAAATAGAGCCCTACGCTGCGCACTATGTCGTGATCGTTAGCGCGTGAGGCAACTACTCCGGGTTGTATTCTCGCGATATGCGTACATGTCGGTCACGCTTAAGAATGTCAATTAGTCACGCTTGGGGAATGTCAATTAGTCATGCTTAGGAATGTCAACTTCCGTCATTCGTAAGAAGTCTAGCTTCCGCCGTGCGCGGGCACAGATTCGTAGGAAGTCGCGCAGTCAGTAGAGCGCGCTAACGAGCGGCCTCAGCGGACTGTTTACGCACGCATTGGCTGGCAGGCGCGAGGCAAGATATGCGCGTGCGCATTCCTAGTTATAATATACGCAGGTCGTCACCTGATTGATATTATGTCGTGAAAACAAGCCAATATGCATAATCGCGTTGGCTGATCCTCTTGCTCTGCGTACATTGGAGACACAAGAAGACACAACGAAGGGTGTGTGTCGACTCCCGCATGCTATGTACTGTGGCTAGCCCGTCCGCGAGCTATATTATACTAGCGGAGTAAGCGCATTATAGCAGTCCATCAATTTGGCATGCGCAGTTCACTGAGGGTTGTGTGCCAGCACCCTTGACGACGGATATATATAGTGCGCACCACGATGAGGTGCGTAGCTAGCTACATAGAGTCGAAGAGTTAGCTAGACGTTCGGAGATAAGAATGGTGCAAAGGATTCTACAAGTCAACCTAGCACTAGCAGTTATTAGTGCTTGTGTTTGTTTACGGTTGAGTGATCTAGGGTACAGAAATTGTTCTGATGTCCTTTTTAATACTCCTTCAATGGATCATGGCAGTTTCAATGAAACCTGTCCACCATGGTTTTTCTCCAAGAATGGGAAGTGCTGGCCTGGACCTACACTAGGAGGCATCATTAAACATGACTTGCAAACACTTCAAACTAGTCTCCTACAGTGTAACTGCATGACGGAGGAAAACGGAGTTCTCACAGTTGGTGCGTGCATATACACATGCAAGGCCGTGATGGGCTACTACCCACTACCATGTCATGTCTCTCAGATGCAAAAATTTACATGTGCAGGGTTGCATAGACATGGAAAGTTGTGTGACAGATGTGAGAACGGATATGCCATTCCTGTTTATTCTTACAGCCTTGCTTGTGTTAAATGCACTGATTACAAATATAACTGGCTGAGATATCTGACAGTTGCATTCTTACCACTAACTCTGTTCTATATTGTAGTCACACTCTTTTCTATTAGTTTTACGCATCCTTTGCTAGCAGGAATGGTAACGACCTTTCAAATAATAGCTCAACCAATACAACTCCAGCTCTTTCTCAGCTTTATGAAGTCATTTGGACTGGTTCAACACAAAATACTAAGGGCATTATTATCATTTGCTTCATTTTGGAATCTCGATTTTTTCCGAATGTATTACTCATTCTGCCTTCACCCCGATGCATCAGCCATGGCCATCATGGCTCTGGACTATGCCACAACAGTCTACCCAGTGGTACTGATTGGAGTCACGTATGTCATGGTCAAACTCTACGATGACAACTTCAAACTCCTGGTATGGCCATGGAAGCTCCTCTCTGCTATTTTGAAACCATTGAGGAAGACGTGGAATGTTAAAACATCTCTTATTGATGCATTTGCATCCTTTATTTACCTTTCCTCCACCCGCCTACTGTTGACGTCCTTAGGCTTCCTGGTCCCAATCAAAACTTACACCTACCAGCAGGGACCCGATGGAGAGATGGAGCTGACGGCAAAATACTATCTTTTTCTCTCGCCTTCATCAGAGTATTTTGGTGAGCGTCATCTGCCCTTTGCCCTATTAGCTATAACATTATTGCTTGTATTTTATCTCCTGCCGATTATTTTGCTGTTTGTGTATCCTTTTTCTTGGTTCCAAAACTTGCTGAATAAATCCGGACTCAACTCCCTCACCTTGAGGATATTTGTGGATGTGTTTCAAGGAGCATTAAAGGATGGGACAAATGGCACTAGAGACTATCGCCATTTCTCTGCATTTTTTCTCTTTATCCCACTGATATTAAGCTTGACATTTTCACTAACCCAGTCCAGTATCTACTATCCAATTGCTAATATTTGGATTCTACTCTATCTCACCCTTCACCTCATCTTTCGACCATACAAAATTTCACGTCACAACTACACCACGGCACTGATTCTAGTGGCCCTATTGGTAAGCCACTGGGGTATAACCATCAACAGTGAAGTAACCGCTGTAAATTTGGCAGACACCCTTATGGATAATTGTCATGTTGTCATTTTTCATGGAGTGTGGTTTCTATCAATAGTAATGATTGGAATTTCAATAATAGTATTGCTTTTTTATATTCTTGGTTTACTGTCCGTACTGATTATATTTCGTTGTAACAAACAAAAGCATGCTCAATAATTGAATTAACAATTTTTTAACCTAAATTAGTGCCACATACATTATTCTTGTTTTACATAGGAGAAAGTGTCAGTTATAACAGGGATATTATCCAAAGCATTGCTAGGTAGCTACACTGTTCATATGACAAAGTCAAGCCAAAGTGGCAGTAATCTAGCAGACGGGACGAAAACAACATTGTCTGGTGTTTCAACACACCAGAGCTATCCACAACACACTTTAGCCACACACTTTAGTAAGCAAGGACGATATATAATTATAATGGGATATGAGAAACTTTCTCCCTTATACAAAGTGCAGAAGACGCCAATCTGCACTGTCATTCTATAACACAAATGGCCGTGAAACTAAAACAAAATGTTTTTTGACCCTTTCCCATTCTGTTTCCATGTAAACAAGAGGTGACGATGGGATGAATTTTACACCACAGCTGTGATTTATATTATGAAAATGTAGTACAGCAAGAATCTTTGTGGGACGCTGAGCTGGCAACAGATGTTTAGCCAACATATCTAGTGTTTCATACCAGCCTTCAGTTCTTGCATGCAATTTCACTATGTGTTACCATCTTATTCCCTCAGTCACTCTTCTACCTTCCCTATGGAACGAATAATAACTAATATTGTCTCAAGACTGGACTGCACAGTCACCACAGTGATCACTTCTTTCTTGTCACACATCACTACAGCAGAGTGTGGAGCTCTATGATAGTAAATGGAGCATGGTTGAATGGCAGCAGTGGGCATGTGCAGCAGGGGTTTGTAAATATTAACGTTTGCCAGTGTTAGCATGAAACAGGTAAAACATTACACGCTTGCCACTGCAACTAGAATATTTATCTTACCAACAATTATTACAAAAAATTATACCATCCAAACATTCAAACACACAGACCCAGTTAAAGTGAAGGATCTAAATAGACCAGTTGTAGTCTTATTAGCCGTTATTACAGGGTGTTTCCCATTGCCAACACTAATAAGAAACTCCTTTAAAAACGTAGTCTGACTTTTGCCAACAAACGTAGGTGTAAATGTAGTGAGTCCGTTTGGCGTGATGGCACCACCAGCCACACAGACAACAGAGTAGACAGCCTTGTCGTGGGACAGCAAGGACTCTGAATCTTCAGCACGCAGAGTGGCGGCTCTAGTGGAATAGAACTGGTCCCAGTCAAACAGGTGAATGTGACCCTGATAGGTCCCCAGTACTAGCCGTGATGGAGTCACACTCAGAGAGGATACTGAGCAAAGAGGAATAGAACATCACATAACATAATCCAGGGATATACCCAAACGTGCCAAATGTACATACAACATGCAGTTTCTGTTTCTATCTGTGACACAATATGCAATTGTGGTGCCAACATTGTAATGTGTATGTATAGCTGGAAATATCAAGGGAAAAACATTTTCAAAGCCGTCCGTAAGAGTTTTTCAACAGAGGTTTTTCAGGTGCAGACGTTGTAATTAAATGTAAGGCTCCTCATAATTTGGTAGAAAAACACAATTTTCTCACTTGAAATTTTCATTTCTACACAGTGTTGTTTTTCTCAGTTAAAGGCATGTTTCTCTTTCTAGTGCACAACATTCTCTCTTCCAACCGAGGGGATAGCTACTCTGGGACCCACCGGACATATCACAAGTGACAAGACGGAGCAGAGTCTTCTGTGAGCAGTCAACGAGAGCAAGACTGCTGCTCTGAGAGCCAGGCTGGTGCAGCAGAGCCAACACACAGGTCCCGTCTCCACTCAACTTGAGCTCCTTGGCAGTGAACTCGTGCGACGTGGCTCCGTTAGTGAGAGGGACAACGCTAGTGACTCTCTCCACATCGCGCTGTAGGCCCCAGACTGTGTTAGGTGTCAGAGGATAGTCCAGTACCACGAGTGAACTGGCCGAGGTTCCACACCACACACTCAGCACACTTTTACCACCATCACCACTGGCGGTGTGGAGTGAGAGTAGGGAGTGTAGGGGGGAGATGGTGCGAATGCGAGGGATAGATGTGCAGTGGTGATCCCCAGGGGACCTCAAAACCTCATTGACACCCTCACTCCAGCTGTACACGTGGACTCTACCGCAGGCAAACCCCATCAAAAGAAATGGAGGAGAGGGGAGTGAAGACATGGCCACAATCTCAGAGTGTTTCCCGTGCTGTTCGGAGCAGGTCTGTGCGGGCTGGAAAAAGAAGCGCGTCCTGTTGGCTGTGTTGAAGACCATGACTTTTCCGTCAGCCAGAGCTGCCAGAACTAGTCCTCCGGTTGTGGCGTGGACCACACACACTGAGCTGGGACCCACACTCCATAGAGACTGCAGAAACACATAAGATTGCTCTCCAGCTAACTCTCATGGTGCATAATGTGGTATGCGTTTGGTTAAGTCATAATCTTTGCATAAAAGCAGGGAAATGCTTACTGTGGCAGAGAAAATACTTATACTAGAAACTCTATATTCTATAAGACGTGCACAAAATTACTACCATGAAGAAAAACACAGTCACACACACATGAAGGGCCGTACCTTTGTCTCCACAGTGTATTCTACTGATTCTTGGTGATGTCCCAGTGTCATAGACACGATACTGGTAGAGTTGTTGGCCAGCGACGACAGTGCACCACACATGACAACTTGTTGGGACCCTCCCTCACCGTCCACTTGAAGGCCGTGAACAGCAGAGAGCCGACAGCTGTGGTAGAGGACGAAGGAGTCGAGGAGGAGGGAGTGGGGGGACTGGGCTGGGCTGGAGCCAGGTCGCACGGCCAGTCCCGTCAGCTCGGTTAGGGCGGAGTGGAGGAGCTCAGCAGAGGGTCTGCGGTACTGCTCCTGCTGCCAGCACTCCTCCAGGACTTGGTAGAGGAAAGACGGATAGGGCGTGTCCTGAGGGAGTATTATGATGCAGAACTTCATAGTCACAGTTCATAGCAATGGATCGCGATCAACCGAGACTGACATCAGATAAGTCATACAAGTGGAAAAATCATTGCTGTGAAATGTAAGTGGAAGTAGGGATGTCACACCATGAAAGAGGAGGGGAACAAGAAGATGCATACACCGAGACAGAAAGTCATTCATAACCCAATCTCTACATTTTTGTGTTTCAATCTTCTGCTGGTCATGACATGTGGGGCCACTACGATTGTGCCTGAGGCCTTTGCACTGCTGCTTGGTGCCAAAAGGGGGACGGCATGGTCTGTTAGTGCTAACACCCCTGCTGAGACAATCGGCAGGGATGTGGAGGCTGACACGGTGCTTTTGCCAGTGGCTCAGCTGTGTGTCCAAGAGGTAGGGATGGGGTTCTGTCTCGGTTTTGTTCCCTTCCTTTTATGTGACATCCCTATATCCCCTTTCATTAATTAATAGAAACGATTTTTCCACTTGTTCCAATCATTTTTTGATTTGAGGCGAAAGCCCTAATAAAAATGAAAAGCACTAAAGTGCAAACCCTCAGCGAACTGCGCATGCACAGTACCGCTAATTTATGGGCTGGGCTATTAGTAGTACGCATTTACTTATGGTCTCCCACTAGTAGCTTGCGGAGAGTCTGACAGGGGCTAGGGACAGTGGTAGGTAGCACGCGCGAGTCGATACAATCCTTTGTTGTGACTTCTTGTTCCTTCAAGATACACAGAGTGAGAGGACCAGGTCGAGGTAAGCCTGTGCTAATTAGTATAACACTTGTGTTTCACACCATAACTCCCGAACGCAACAGTTTCAGAGAAAACCCTATAATTTTCGACCTGTGGAGCAATCCATGACTCGTGAAGTGAGAGACAGAAGGACAGAAGGACACACACGACAATTACCATAACCCTCACTGTGCATGAATGCCGAGATGAGACATTCTGCTTCAGATGTAACAAAGCTGCAGAAGCAGAGGGCACTGATACAGTGTCTGATAAAGCAGTGGCAAGGAAATGTCCAGGAGAAGGCAAAGTTTCACCACGGCAACTCGGAGTCGGCGTGCCACGAATTGAGAAGGCGTATCCGCACACGGCGCGCGAGGCCAATGCCTCCACCACGCATGCTGAGTTTGTGTTCACTGTCTTTACCGTGAAGACTTCACGATCTACTGTAGAGACGTAACAGAGAGTAATGATCGCTTGATGTACGTCCTCTGGCGAATCTGGAGATGTTCAGTGAAAAAATCAGCGCTTCAACTATTTTCGGTAAGGGGATAGTGGGTCTACTGAAGAAGAAACCGGAAGATGAAGAATAAAAATCCAGAAATCGCGTCCGAGCAATTTCTCGCGAGAAGAAGTAGAGGCAAGTACGATACTTTTGACAATATCAGAAGATAAATATGGGCCCGTCAGTGATTTTGGCTTGGTTTGGCTTTGCTAGCCATTTTCACCGAGTTTGGAGCCGTTGTGAACGTGGATGACGTGCGACTTCACTCGAGCCATCCCTACATAGAGAATCTACCGATGCTCTGCAGCAAAGATAACGGGCTCAATGACTAATTGTGAGCAATACATACACATAATGTTTCCAAGTTATACTACAGATCTGCTACATACAAACCCTCATAGCAGTATCCTCTTCTCCTTTACTTTACCCTTACAACAATCCTAGCTAAATATTTTCGTATTCATACAAAACACGATAACTCTAATGACCAACACATATTACATGTACAACTGAAGTGAATGTGGCAGTAAGGTAAATGGGGCTAACTCCGGACGTGGGGTCTAACACCGGCCTCGAAAGTATTCGCTGCGCAAAAAACGCGAGGAAGATTTGTTAGCGTTTTGGTAGGTAGTAATCAAGTGAAATATATGCAACTCTTTCTGAATAGTGAGTTATGTCCGCCGTGTATTACCCAGTGTCCCAAGTTATCCCCATTTACCTTACACAAGCTAGGGCTAAATTTTGAACGTAACTACATAGCTAAACAATAGGGCAAAGTGCAATAATGTAATTAAGTTCCTAGCAACAGTTTCTACTTTATATATTTGTCTAATGTATTACCTTGGTGGAGAAGCTCGCCCTCTTGCCCATCTTGAGCATGTTCCTGTACTCAGCCTCTGAGATGTCAGCAGGTGGCAGTGGACGCAGAGACATCAGCTCATACAGACATGTCCCCAGGTAGAAAATATCAACCTGCCCAAGGTATATACATAGTAGTGACCAGAAAATTGGGGAACTAACGGGACAACTACTAAAGCAGCATAAGGCACTCAATACAGACATAGATATTCTGTATATACAACAAGTGGAGGGAAACTGACACAGACCATCACCTTGTTAGTGAGAGTGGCATTATAGTTGAGGCACTCTGGGACAAACTGGCGGATGCCCTGTTTGTTTTTCGTCTTCTGTGTGACCGGATTGGCACAGATGCCCATGTCCGCTACTTTCACCAGGACACCTCCTGTTCCAAGAGCTACTCCACAGCTAGAGGTGGCCCTTTCCGTTAAACAGTGGTGATTGGCTGGCGGGAACTGAAAGACTAGAATGTTGGAGCAGCGCAAATCGTTGTGGACTATCTTCACCGCCTCGTGGAGGTAGGAGAGGGCATCAGTCACCTAAGAACAGTATTTGAAAGACCTCACTGGATACAACAACTGCTGACAATAGGGCAGAATAACATGTGGTTTTACCATATTGCATAACCTTTGGGGCTAAAAAATGAACTGTTTGGCTTTTGTAAATGCGGTCAGCAAGCATGTGTGGCTGTGCTAGTAGAACCAAAAATAAACACTTCCATTGATTGCAAGGTTTTTCTTGTAAACACTGGACTAGCAAGGTCTCCAAAACATCATTACTCCTTGAAACATTACAACAGAGGTGTGGAAGTTAGTCAAACCTGGAGTAGGACAAGGAAGAGTGTGGTGGGGCAGATGCTGCTCCTCTCCATGACATAGCTCATCCTGACGTGTTCCAGGCTCTTGCCAGGTGCCCACTCCAGCACGAAACAGAGAGGGTTGGTGAGGACACCCACAAACCTCACCACAAACCCGTGGCTCATGGTGCTCAGCTTGTTCAGTTCGTAGCGCATGTCTGCATAGTTCTTTGCCAGCTCAAAGGCACTGCTCGACTGGACTGAGTCTTGCTGCACAAATATCTTGATGGCTACTTCAATACAGCCCTCTTGACTCTGCAGGAAAACGTGTACACAGTTCTACACACGCATATACTACCACAAGTAAGATCCTGCATGTCTATATGTACTGCCATAAGTACACATGTACAACATACTGCCATAAGAAGAACTTACACGAGTATCAAAGTGTCTTTTCACAACTTTAGCAAATGATCCACGAAGATTTGAAGATTCGTTGGGGTCAATGGGTTCATTGAACCGCGTGTGATCCAGTTTCATGAAGGCCAAGTCAACAAATGCCTGGGTGAAGGAAGGCAATAGAACTGGTACAAAATTATATGCACCAGGATATGAGGCAAACAGTCCAGGATCATTCTCTGCCGTTCGCAGTTAGGAATATCACTCTGACACACAATTCATGCTTGGTCACACTGAGGAATGTGTAAAATCCAAGAACTGGGCAAAAAGAGCTGTGCATCTAAGGCAATGCAGGCATGATGTGTGCAACTGTGTGTGGATAAAATGTTCTTACAATGTCGGGAGCTAGGTGAGCAATCTCCAGCCTGCCGTGTCTAGGGCAGCTCATACAGTCAGACACCATGGTCTGCTGGATGCACTCGTTCACACGGAACGCATACAGAGCCTCGGGGCGCTCATCGACACTGGCCGGGACATGCAGGCTCTTTGACAGAGCTCTGTCCGGACGGTTTCGGATCTCCCTCCGAAATGTGGTGACAGCAGCGCCGCGACCCCTTGGGAGTGTCAGCACTCTCCCCGTGAGTCCCGTCTGCCTCCTCGATTGTCCTGTTGTCCGAGTCTCCGTAGCAGAGAGGGCAGGGGACGAGGTGGAGCATGTCACCGACAGTGTAGATGCCATTCATGGCCAGGTGCTCGCAGTGGTTCTTGAGGATTTCGTCGATCAGCTCCAGAACCTTGGCCAGGAGCTTTGCCGCCACCGACTCTCGAGACGGTGCAAACTGTTTGGATAGCAACTTGCTTCCACTATCTTCCAGGACCATCTGCGGGATAATGATCTCTATCACCTCGTTTAAATGCTCTGGTATGCTGGTCCACTCCCTCCCCTCTCTCAACTGGAAGTTCTGGACTTTTGCGAGGGCGCTCGAGACAACAAATTGATGCCTCGGATCGACAAACACGTCTCGTCGGAGGCTGTTGACTCGCAGGAGGAGCTTTTCATCGGCGATGAGCATGATCCCAGTCTTCCAGTACTGCCACTCGATGCCCACATTACCCAGCATCCCACGCAGTCTGTTCGTGGTGACGTGCATCTCATAGCCACAGCTGCTTGCCGAGAGTAGCCTCAGGATCTCGTCGTGCTGGATGCACAGCGAGATGAGCTTGCTCCAGAAACCGGAAGCGATGGGCGGGAGATGTAGCATCCGGCGGTACACTAGCCCAGTTCCTACCAGAGACAGTGTCATTGGTGTTTGTGCGTGGTACGGAGAAGGTGTGAGGGGTTCGGCGGGTTCGTCAGTGACCTCTCTGCTCTTGTGGGGAAAATGGCCTAGTACGAGGTGAAGAGGGAGGCTTGGGTCAGGGTTGATGGCTGAAGGGACGAGATAGTTCTCAGAGTCAATCTGGTGGATGACTCCGTGCTCCATGAGGAACTGTCTGAGGAGGTTCCCAGTGGTCTTGCTGCAGCCGAGCTCCTGTCTCTCCAGTGCTTGGTCCATCAGTCTTGCCTCCAGCTGAGCACTGCCTGTGAGTGGTGGCAGAGAGGCATATAAAGTAAACTATATCTCATATGCTGGATATTCTCCTTTTTCCAATTTGAACAAGACCAATAATATGTATCTGTATGTGGAAGACTCATACTGAGAAAAATGAAACACGCTATTGAAGTGTGTGCCACAGATTGAGTAGTGTCACTATAGCGGTATCATGTATATATACCTAAACCTACTTCTGGATATGATGCCCTCTCTCTGTATGAGTTGACTGACATTTGACGGAGAAATTACTAGGGCACAGAGGTCAAACCAGTACTGTGGGTCGATGATGTAATGGTCAATCAGATGAGGAAGTTGAAAGTGCAAGATCATACCAGCTGTAGAGGTAAAACAGACACACAGATCTACAGTATTCACTGGCAGAAGAAGTAAAATGCATACACATTGTGTGTATAAGGCTAATGTATGTACTGTAAAAGACGTCATGCATGCGTTACTCTGGATTCTGGAAATATTATAATATCAAACCGATTTGTTCACTGACGCATCTTGACGTGTATCGGAAAACACAGTGGTACAGAGTCTGAATGCAGAATTTTTCAGTGGGCACTGCCACATACCGTAATGCTATACGTCATTCTATATAACGCCTGAAACGTGCGAAAAATCAAACTGCATCATTGCAGTCCTCTAGTAGGCAAAATAATTATATACTGTGGACAATAAATAAGGGACAATCGCTATCGTACACATATTGACGTGTATTACAACTGTGTGCTGACTGGAGGCATGAAGGAAGTCCACAGCAGCCTCCATGGCAGTCTTATCAAGACCCACTGTCTCACTCATCCGGCTCCTGTAATGAAAACCTGAATTTAGTAAGCTACTGTGTATGTGTATTACTGAAAACAATGAAAAGCACTAAAGTGCAAACCCGCGGCGAACTGCACATGCGTGGTACACCTAATTGATGGGCTGGGCTATTAGTATGCGTTTACTCGAGCAGTCTCGTTAGTAGTTCGCGGAGAGTCCGACACTGGCTAGCTACAGTAGTAGATAGCATGCGGGAGTCGATACACGCCCTTCGTTGTGATTTCCGCTGCCTTCAAGATACACAGTGCAGGCGGACCCAGTCGAGGTAAGCCAGTGCTAATTTGCATATTGCCTCACTTTTTACACCACAACTTTTGAACGCAGTAGTTATACGAAAATCACCTTTTTTTAAAAAAGTAAGCCAGTGTAGCGATAAACCCGTTGGTATCATGTTTATGTAATGTTGAGCGTAGTCGCAAAAAAAACGTGGTAACAGACAAACAGACAGACAAACACACACCACTCACAAACCAAGTACCATAACCCTCGCTGTGCATGCGTGCTGAGGGTTTAAAATGGTATGTGTTGTGTTGCATGTTGTGTGTGTGTACGTAACCGTACTTCCATATATACCAGAACGCGTCTCTATTCATGACTGGTGGAACTTGTTTGGACCAGACGTCCTCTTGTAGCCTCTCTATCTCCTGGCGCAGTGTCTTGTAGGCCACGGGGATCATCTCCTGCATCGTCTTCACTGAGGACCCTCCCACATGGGGACCTACATGTACACACCAGGATGAGGTATTACAATAGTACATTGGTGACTCAATCACAAATTGCAACAATGAAAAATATGTACAACAATATTCCACGTGACACTATCCAAACTCCCTAATAAAAACAGTGCCTTATTTTGGAAGTCACCTGTACTCGGCCTGCAAATGTTCCAAATTATGCTTCATTTATCTGTATTGCGCACTTATGTACTGTACACGCCGTTACTTGCCACACTTTCTGTAGCTCTCTTTGCCTCCGTACAAAGAGTGTACGAATTTCGTATTCGCAGATGGATCTGTTTGGTTATACTACACATCACTAAGCCCTTTGATGCAGTTTTCTTATGCAAGAGTTACAGTTTACTGGTATCACAGTGGTAAAGAAACGTGAACTATCGGAAGTTTTAAAATTGTCCCTAAGTGTTATCGTGCTCCCTGGTTCTCAAGACTGGGCACCCAGTGTCCTGCTCTCGCGTCAGTCATGTGTATTTGTGTATGTGTTTTGTATGGATATTTTGGGATTTGTGGATATAATGTTGTGTGGTTATTTCTCTATCTATCTAGTATCAATCTATCTATTGTACCTATGGCCGGTATGCTATGAACTATAATTTCATACAGTATTATGAAAATATATACCGTTTGGAACCTCCATTTTCATGGCCACGTCGTAGATGAAGTCTGCAAGACTGTCTGGTCCATGGACGCCGGTCACTTTGCCCTTGTGAGGGATACCAACGAAGCAGGTGCCCATGACGTGTGGGTAGAGGTGGCTGTGTGCCCGGTTGCTGTTGTACCAGTTCACCATCTCCTGCCACACTCTGGCCTTCTCCTCCCTCTCCGTGCGAGGCACCAGGTCCATATGGGTCCCCACCACTATCACACTGCTCCCCGGCGCCTTTGCCTGCACATCATAGGATAGCAAAAATATTTTTAGGATAAAACCTTTAACGAGAATTTCGCACATAATGTTTTCGCC